TTCTGTTTCGCTTGCGAATTGGCAACCGACGGGGCAGAAGACTTTCATTTCCAAGATGGCGTTTTTGTTTTGAAACTCTGGTTTATGATTGTAATGATGTGACGTGTCAGAGCCATCCAAATGAGCCAAGCCTCGCATTGATGCCGCATCCCACCCAGTGTGAGACGAAGGGCAGTGGAAGCGAGTGGATGGGCATGTTGGAGCGAATCATGGGAACAACATCAGCAAGAGCAGCTGGTGGTTCACCACTAACAATGCTGTGGCTACTCTTATGGACAATTAATCGCTGCTAGTTCTTATTTTCCCTCCCTCCCTCTTTCTCTCTCTCCCTCACCCTTCTTCCTCTGAGGCTGGTTTCACCCTGCACGATGACCACAGTCCTCCCATATGAATTTGGCAAACATACCATGAGACATGAAAGGAGGCAATCACGGTGTCCCCGGCTGTCAAAAGTTTAATCGGATCACACAAATTGGGATGTGGAGAAGAGAATATATACAGAAACTGAACCCACGCAGTGTCGCAGCGGACGTGGGCTGACACATGACAGCGAGAGATCAAACCCTGTTTTGGCTCAAATTTGGCTGATTCGTCAGTGTTTGTAAAGATGAGCTCGCATGCTGGGGGAAAAAATGGGAAGTCAGGAGTGTTAAGTAATCTTTAATGGGAGCTGAAACATTACTGACAGCTTCATGCATCATACTTCCAGTAAACGTACATGTCAAGTGCTGTAATCACAATTTTGGGGTTATTTTTTCTATTTTATGCTATTTTATTTTATTTTTTTGTACTTTACTTGTAGTGTACGTTTATTACGCTACATGTATTTGACAGCTTTAGTTACTTTGTATATAAATATATTTATTTTTTAATAGAAATATCAACTTAATTTCAACATAAACATGAAAAATGGTGCATTATAGGTTGAACAACCAGTGCATAAAGTAGTTAAAATTATCTCCACTTCAGCTGCAACAGCAAAAATTCTTCATACACATTAAAGGACAAGAAAAGTTGTTGTTGCAAAAGGCCATTGTTTCTGTATATATGTAGTATTTTAACTTTTTTTTTTAAATTATGGTAATGCTACTTCTGTTTAAGTAAACGATCAGATTTTCCAACCACTGCATTGCCTTGTCTGTAATTGACACAAATAATTAGGTAATATTTTCACCAAATAAGACGCAGAACACATTTCTAGTGAAGAGGTGATGTTCCATTTGAAGTTTGCCATAAAACCTTTCAGCTTTATGGAACTGAAAATGCAACAGTGTTTGTTTGTGTGTGTGTGTGTGTGGGGGGGAGAGACCAAAACTGATACTTCAGCTGGAAAATGAACTTTATAAGAAATCATAAACACCAGTATGCGGCAAACAGCTAAGTCACTGGTATTTATCAACAACCCTATCAATCCCCAGAATATACATGATGTACCGTGAGGCAGTAAAATGTCTTCTTATTTCTCCTTTAATACGTCGTTAAAGGAGACTGTGGTTGCACTAAGTGGGATGTGGTGCGGCACAGCATGAGATTACCGCACAACTGGTGTGAGCATTTGTGTTTTGTAGCTGATAAGTCTTCTGTGCTTCATATAAGGCCAGTAAGTTAGTGTGTCAGTGGAAAGGCTGATTACACTACACAGGCTTGTGCTGAGTCCTAATTCACCCCAAAGCCACACAAGGAAAGAGCTGTGTTTGACTGCGCTGACCTGCTTGTCTAATCTTAGAAAGTCTCACACATGGTGTAACCATTCTGATAATCTAAATTCATGATTTAGGTAAACATGGAAACACTTTAAATACTGTACAAAGAAAAGGGGGAGTAAGTAGGAAAGGCTGCAAGTAGAGGCAAGAGAAAAGGAAGAAACTCTGCCCTCTGTTGGGTGTGAGGCGGAACTACAGCAAACTGTTGCTATTACAGACAGTTTATTGTGTTTGTCCATGACTTCTTTCATCTCCTGCTTGGTGAGATAAAAATTTAACATCCAGTCATCCCACTTAAACTCTATCAGTGACCTCAAGCCTCATCCCCATCCTCCCTTCTGGGGAGGGGGCGAGGGGGGGCGGGGTCATCAGAGTTGGCAGCACAGGAGGCAGAAATCAAACCGTGCAGCAAAAGGCCGAGGAGTGACTTAACTGCAGTTCCAGCAGAGACTGATAAGGCCTTACAAGTCAGGAGGAGGATAGCCTTGACCTCGAGGAGCACAAGTCCTCAGAAATCAACTCGACTCTTGTCAGCAGTGAGTGGAAAATCCTGCCCAAGGAGCTGAGATCAGTTCGTTCCTTTGGTGCTTGTTCACTTTGGAAGTCGGTGGAATGATTGGACAGGAAAAACCTCATAAATATTCCACCCTTCACTTTTTTACAAGCTGCGATGGAAACAATTAGTCCGTTTATCGATCAGTGCATTGAAGATGTGACTGTTGGTCAAACAAAAACGAGACATTTTTCACTAGTTTCTGACAAAAAATATATATAGAAAAATATATATATAGAAAAAAGCTACAGTAGTTTCTCACACTAAATTTCAGCACTACTGTCAAATGTCACCTTTGAGTGAATACTGCATATCCTGTTTTGTAAGTATTCTCATGCGGAGTCCAGCCCACACCCTAGAGTCTAGACTGTCACCAAATGCCATTTAAAGATCCTGTATTGATCCCCCCTGGTGGAGAAATTCAGGCACTTTTCACAACTTCTAATGGAAAAACACAGTCGAAAACTTCTAAATATACCCTAAATAGGACAAATGTAAGAAGTATTAAGCATGTTTTTTGCCTGTGTGTGAAGTCACACAAACTGTTTACACTGTCGGACTGGAAGGAGTTGCTTGGAAATAAATGCATTTCAACTAACATAACTTCTTAATAAAAGAGTAAAAAAAAGTAAGCCTATATGTGCAAACAACTGCAAGATACCGTGTCAAAGTGACGTCTGTAGTCGTTTACTGTGTGTGTGTGCATGTTTAAAACACATCTGACACTATCCCCTGAGAGAGCAGCCTGGCTACATTTTCTTTTTCTTTTTTATCTAGATTTTCATTTTGGCAGGAAACAGGTGCCTCCTCCTAAACCTGGAAGGTTAACTGCATCGCACAATATCAAACAGGCCTCTGAGAGAGTATTAAAGTAAACAACTGAGCATGAGGCTTCTTGAGGCCAGTAAAATAAGGACATTTCCATCAGAGTCAGTGGCTTGTTGCTGACACCCGCTGACCTCGTAGAGTTCAACCCTGATCTACGTGCTCCGACAATCACAGCCGCTGGTGGATTTACTGTACTGAAAAGAGTAGAGCTTTTATATGTATGTATATATATACATATATATATATAACACTCCTACTTCCCTGCTGTAGTTATTCCTCAAAGGGAGGGACAATCGAACTGATCTACTTAATCAATCGGTGACAGGGCCCTTTGAACTGCAGACGTGATTTCCAGCAAGTCTGTCATCCCACCCTGTCGTCTGTGAAAACACTCCAGGGGGAGATTACTCCACACAGCCCGGGCTCGTAAAAACTCTTTTTATGTTAAAACACACACACACACACACACACACACACACACACACACACACACACACACACACTCGTTCCCTGACTGGGTCCAGAAAATCTCAGTGATTGCATGCAAGTTGTATTTACTTTTCCTAATGCATGCAGGAGGTTTGTAGCTTCCTTAAAAGCTCAGAAAAAAGGAATGAAACTTTAGATCAGAAGTCTTGTATCTGGTCTTTCGTACTAAATACAACTAAAATTCAACATTTGAGTGCAGAAAAACAACTTCCCCTGCCTCCTTTAACGGCTGCTAGCAGTGAGACAAAGCTCTCCACCCCCCTGTGTGGCTTCTGTATAGGCAAAAGTAGAGGAAGGGGAAAGGGAATGTTTTGCCTCTCTTTCTCTCTCCCTACCCCTCTTCCCACCTCCCTGGGGCAGCACTGTGTAGTAATAAACGTCCCCCATAAATCTCCCTCCCCCCCCTCACGCCATCATCCCCCCTCTCCTCCAACTTTTTTTTTGTTAACAGCTTCTTTTCTTCTCTCCCAACCCTGCTGCCTTTCTTTACCCTCCCTCCTCCTCCTCCTCCTCCTCCCCTCTTCTTCTTCACCTCTTTTTCTATTGCAACCCAACCCTGACATTGACTCTGCACATGGCCGATGGCTGCTCTGTCATGGATGCAGAGGGCGGGAGGAGGAACGATGGACCACAAAAGATTTGTATAGGTTTCACTCTCTCTTGCAAGCACGGCTCTTTCATATGTGGCTGTGAGCGTCATTGTTACTGGCTGTAGTTGAATCTGGTGAGATCACTCGTATATCAGGTTATATACTGTGCACACCTGATTGGAGTGACACATATGCATCCATGCACATATTCAACCTTGGCTGGTATAAGGAGGAGGAGAGGAGAGAGAGAGAGAGAGAGAGAGAAAATAAAGGGTTTTAAAGTGGATATAACTGTGGCGGGGAAAGAGTTACTGGCTGCCTTGAATTCACCGGAAAGTCCCACAAGTGACGTTACAGTCCAGCAATTAAGAGTAAATTAATTACAGAGTAGTGGATGGTAGCTGAAACCCTGAGGGACAGTGTAGCGCCTCCCAGTAAACAACTCCAGAGTAGTTTTCTTTAAGGAAATAAAGTTGTCACTGCGCTTTAAAGTTTGTGCTCATACATTAAAGTGAACTCATTATGTATAATAAACAGAAAATGTACAAAACGAAGTGTAAAAACTCACTTTTTGTATGTATAATAATAATAACTTTGTTTTGGTTCTGAATTAAATAAGTAATAATAATATTTTTTTTTAAAAAGCCCTGTCTGTTTAGTATTCATACTGCGTGCAACTTGTGTAGTAATCTCAAACAAACTGACAAACCCACTGCAAGTTCGTCCCCGGAGAAAAGGAAGAAAGAAAAAAAAAAAAGTTAAATAAAAAAAAAAAAAAAGTTAACAGAAAGTTGACGCCCAGCTCGAGGCTCCTCCTGCCACTGGATTTATAAGCAATGTCTTGCCTGCACAGGACAGAGGGGGAGTACTGCTGGGTCAAAAATACAACAGGAGCTGCAAATCAGAGAACTCAGCAGACCTGCGCAACTTTTCTAACAAGCACAGTTTGGGGTTGTTGTTGTTTTATATATATATATATATACACAGATATATATATATATACTACTTTTTCCTGTTGTTGTTTTTTTTTTTTTTTTTTTTTTTTGGGTCGCTGCAAAAATGACCACAGCCGTGGTGTCGCCTTTCTTCGACTTCGAAGTAATGAACAAGGTAGCGTTATAACTTTTTATATCTTCCCTCCTCTAACTATCTCTCTGTGTGTGTCTCTCTCTCTCCCTCTCTCTCTCTCTGGTGTTTTCTGTTTAAAAGTGTGCGAACTCAGTGTGTTAGCCTCTGTTAGCATCGGTGAGTTAGCATCGCTGTGGAGGAATGATGAGCTGCATGCCCGCGCGGCCCTGTGCCGTGACGCGCCTGTGTGGAAGGGCTGCGGTTGTTGTTTGTTTTGTTTGTTTTTTTTTCTCTCTCGCTGTTTTGATTTTGTTTTGTTTGTTTGTTTGTTTTATTTTCGTATTTTGTATGTGTAACCACGTCTAAAAACTTTCACGCCCCCCTCCCATGGCGTTGTACACCATAAGTGTAACTTTTAACGGTTACTTTTGTTGTTGTTTGTTGGTGCCACATCAGCTGTCGGTTTAACGGTTATGTAGTCGTACTCACCGGCTACAGCGCAGTTTCTATGGCGAACGGCCGTTAGTTTCAGTTAATTCATGCTATCTTTCTTTAAATGAGGGCAGATTTGCGCCACTTTTTTTCCCTTTTTTTTTTTTTTAATGCTCCTCACAAAGCAGCCACATGCTCGCTAATCATTGACCAGAGTTCGCCTTGCTTGTACTTTTTTTTTTTTTTTTTTTTTTTACTGTTGCTCCTATAAACCCGTTTTATTTAAACGATTTAACCGTTTGGAAATAACTTCTCAACGGCTGTACGGTTAGCTAACGCCACGCGCTGTTGCCGTTTGCATACACGTCCATGTTTTCAGTGTCAAGATTTCTTTTAGTAGAAACAGTTAGATTTGACTCTCTGGCAGCTTTTGTAATACTCATGTTAATCAGTGACTAAACCCGCCATCTCCTCCACACTCTTTTGGACGTGGACTGAAATAGCAGATCAGTTTTTCCCTTGTAATTTTCAGCAGGATGCTTTTGCCACTTTCATTATCTTTCAAATGATGCAGCCTCTTTTGTAGCCACTAGCAGCCCGCTGGCCTCTCATGTGCTGCTGCTCCATTTACTAAACAGGCACACATTCCTCACCAGGGCAACTTGCCAAACCAGCTGCTGTTCTATAGGCCTGTATCCGCTTATGTTGTCAGAGCCAAAAAGAACACAGTCATGCAAGAGGAGGCTGTGGGTTTGCTCTATGCTCTATGCTATGTGTTAATGATATGTATTTCTTTGTGTCTTTGCAGAACAACAAACTGCTCAGCTACAACAACAACCTGGGTGCTCCCCATCCCATGTCTGTCCCTTGCACTGGCACCAATGTGCCCCTCTCCAGCCCCACCGGAGCCCTGCTGGACAGGAAGGCGGTGGGATCTCCCTCCGTGGGAGGCGTGTACCAGCGGCGGCACTCTGTCAGCAGCACAAAGTTCAGCCAGAACCAGTTTCTGAACAGCCTGAAGGCAGCGGACCACTCCTCACTCATCTCAGGTGTTGGCAACGCCAGCAACAACAAGGAGAACCGCCTGCGAGACCGCTCCTTCTCTGAGACTGGCGAGAGGCTCCTCAACAAGTGCCTGGGCCCCGCCAGTCCCACCAGCGGTCAAGTGAACTCCAGCCGTTACAAGACGGAGCTTTGCAGGCCCTTCGAGGAGAACGGTTCCTGCAAGTACGGCGACAAATGCCAGTTTGCTCACGGAATCCATGAACTGCGCAGCCTGAGCCGCCATCCCAAATACAAAACTGAGCTGTGCCGCACCTTCCACACCATCGGATTCTGCCCGTACGGGCCTCGCTGCCATTTCATCCACAATGCCGAGGAGCGTCGTGGACCTCCCCAGCAGTCCTCCCCTCTTAACTCTTCCAACAAGATGGAAAGGCCTCGACTGCAGCACAGCTACAGCTTCGCGGGCTTCTCCAGCTCAGCTGGGCTGAGGGACAGCCCCACCTCCGTCACCCCTCCACCCATGTTCTTCCCCGATGAGGTCCCTGACTGGCCCAGCAGTAACCCCTTCACCTACTCCAGCCAGGAGCTGGCCAACCTGTTTGGGCCCAGCCTCAGTGCCGGTCCTGTAGGCACAGAGCCCAACACCCCTGCACCCCCCTCTCCAACGCCTTACTATTTCAGACCCATGTTGGAGTCCCCTCAGATGTTCGAGTCTCCCTCCAGCCCTCCCGACTCTCTGTCAGACCAAGAGGGCTACCAGAGCAGCTCTGGAGGCAGCCTGAGTGGCTCTGAGTCCCCCACGCTGGACACCACCCGCCGCCTCCCTATCTTCAGCCGCCTCTCCATCTCTGATGATTAGACTGCACGTATCCACCAGTGACTTAAAGTTCGATGACGCAAAGAGAACACGGCACTCCCCTCTACCTCTGCCCCCCAGTTGTCCTGAAGCTTCCCCCGTCTTCCCTTTACACAAGACACCGTGTTTAGTTCCACGTTAGCATTGTAAGGATGTAGTCAATTAAGGGAACTGTCAACTCAAATGATCATTTCACCCCTGCCTGTCCGCACAGCGAGATTTAAAAATAACGTACCCTGCCATGTGTCATAGTGCCAAAAAAAGGAGAGGAAATTGAACAATGAAAATCATGAGAACAAGAATTGACTGTTTTGCCAGGTGCCACTTGTTTATTTTTTATTTTTCTTTTCTTTCTTCTTCATTTTGTTCTTTGAATGTGTAGCAGCACAAGTGGCCTTGGAAAGGGGAGTGCATTGCACTATCCCCCCACCCCCCTTCTTCCCTCCCTCTTCCACCCACCCGCCCCCCTTTTCCTGACGATACCACTTCCCCTGAGCTAGCTAGAGGGTGCTCACTAACGTAACTGTAGATCTACCGCAGCCGTTTTTTTTTTTTTACAGACTGAGTTTAAGGAAAAAAATTAATAAAAATAAAGACCCTGAAAAGATATGAATAGTTTTTAAAAAAGAGGAAAAAAAAGTGCCTGGGGCGGTTTCTGCATGTGTTTAAGGGTGAATGGACTACTGTTTGTTGTTTTTGGTTCTTTCTCATTTGCCCCCTCCCCTTGTCACGGTTCTTCTCAAGCCTCGTCTTATGTAATTGTGGACTGGGTGAGTCTGCAGGAAGGACTTTGAACTGGAAGTTGGTTGTGTTCCCCTCCTCCACCTCCTCCTGAGTTTTCTCCTCCTGTTGCTGGTCACTGGCTCTGGTTTTTTTTTTTGTTGTTGGGAAGGAAGTCTTGATATCAAACTGATCATTAAACCTGTAAGACTTTGTCCCGCCTCTCAACCCCGCCTCCCTCCCTTCATCCCGGACGGTCTGGGGAATTCCAGCATTCCCATGGTGCAGTTGTACATCCTGCAACTTGAGAAGATCTCCAAGCTATTTTACTTTACTTCTCCCCCCTCCCCACCTCCACTTTAGTACCTGCTCCAATGAGCACTCTGTACTCATTACATCCTCTTTTTTTTTTTTTGCTTTCTTTATTTGATAATTATTTTTTATTAATGTTATTATTACGGTTTATTATTGTTTGAAAAAACTTTGCAGACAGAAGGTTTGCTTGTCACTGCTTATTTAACTTATCAGAACATATTTATTGGTGATCATATGCATTTTTTTGTTAATTTTGTTTTGTATTTATCTGGATAATGAACAATAGAATATATTTTCTTTTATGTTAAATTATGATCTTCCATATTAATCTAAAGATTGTGAAGACGTTTTTGTCAGTTTTCCTTTTTTTTCACAGTTAATATATTGTACTTCAATGACTTTTTGTTCTGCAACTACACTTTGTCAAAATGAAACTTAATTTAAAGCAAAAAAAAAAATGCAAAAAAGACGTTTTGCGTTTTGATTATTTATTGTACTTTATTTTTTTCTTACTCCCTCTTATTGGACTGCAATTCCATCTAAACTAGATTTGCTTGTATTCATTCCTGATGGGTTTTTTTCCCTCCCCCCTCGCTCTCTCTTCTTCACATCACAATAATCCTGACAGTAACAGTAGCTAACTGTTATTACATTAATTCAACCCTGTGCTAAAAGACCCTTCTCACATCACCGGTTTCAGGAGGGTCTCCCAAGTTAGAAGACAATGTTGATGACGAAAGGGGGGGTCTTCTGTCAGTAACGTTCTTACACCCAGTCTGTTATTACAAGCAATAGCTGTGACCAAATGGGTTGAGGAAAGTTTCTTTTCTTTTTTTAAATTGATTGGATGCTTGATGCACTTGCTTGCCCCCCCGCCGCCACACACCCCTCTCTCGACCATTGGAAGTGCCTCATCGAATACATTCCAGGTAGCTAAGGCGTCTCTGCCTTTTTATATTTGATAATGGAGGACAGTTAATTATTATTTTTTTGTTTTGTTTTAAAGTCACTTGTTCTGTGTTGCCTTCACGTGTTTTTGGAAGAGGTGAACAGATTTTGACACAAAGAAAGTAAAAACAGTTGAATGTATTTTTTTCAGCCATGTTTTTTTTCACTACAGTAATTTTTTCTGTGAGTTTATATGAAAAAAACCTGTTTCTTGCCCCCTCTTTTTGTAAGTATTGATTGCAGTTAAGTCAATAAACCCCATATTTTTTGAAAAGTTAAACGGTGTTATGAGTTGTGTACGTTGGTTATTAGATGCTCCTGCACCTTTATGCAGTGATACACACAATACACATGCATGATGGTACAAAATCTGTTATATATTTAGGTTAAAATCATGTCTGCACATTAAAGATAACTCCTATTGTATGAATTAGATCAGGATACTTAATATTCCAACTTCAAACTATTCAGATGACTTCATTTGAAGAGGCTGGCTACTTTAATATTAGTGTGTGTGTATATAAGCCTTCAGGGAATAAAGTGTCACACATCATAAATCCACTTAGAAATCATGGAAAACAGATGCTCCTTTATAACTTGAGAACTTGCCCGAGAATAATCTAATTTATAAGTTTTCTTCAGTATAAAAGTAATCCAGTGATAGTTGTCCATACATCCATGGTTACGTTGCAAACAAGAACAGTTAATAACTAATTTGGCATGTTTACAATGGTGCCAATTTGCCAAAATGTGAACAAATACAGGCTCAATTTGTAGCCCTCTAATTAACAGACTCCACGGTAACACACTGCTTCACTGTCAAACCAAACCTCTGCTTTATATAAACGGACTAAATATGTTTACAAATGTTTAAAAGGTAGAATCATACAAGGAGGAAACTGGGAATGAAAGAAACCCTCTGGCTGTGTTTCTCTGTGCATGCATGCAGAAGTAAAGGGAGTTTCACTGTGGTGGAAGTTGATTGGTGAACTGCACAAGAGGGTAAGTCAGGGGTATTGACCTGGGGGATGATCAAACTCTTGATTGAGCAGGTTTGGTTACGCAAAAAAGACACAATACTCCTGGTTTCAGCAGAAATATTGATTGGGGGTGTGGTGGGGTAAACTGCTACGTTTCCAAGAATAAAAAAACTGATTTACTGAGGTTATCACTTGATCAGTGATCCTGAGGTTACAAGTAAGCTTGATCGATACGTGTCCGAGGATATTCCAGGTAAGTATGGGATGAACAATTTTGGTCATAGATTGTTAGGGCTGATATGACTTTAAAAATATATAGCATATGTGGTCAATTTTCAATATTTTTTTGTTACATGAATAAATAATCATAACATGAATAGATAATGATCTCTGTTTTACCTTTAATACAAGCAGAGTGGTATTGGATTTCAGAAACAACATACTGTAGCTTCCCCTTCATACACTCCACTCAACATCTCCACTGCTTCTGCTTTTGCTCGCTGTCTGGACACTTCCGTCTCTCCGTGTTTATATTCTCTCAGATTGCAAAAAAACGAGCCGGAACAGGAACTCCCTTCCCTCCATACAATGGTGGGTGCTGACCCGTCACAGCTGACCCGTGGAGGCCCTCCTTGTTGCTTTATTCCAGTGAACCTGGGCCTGTTAGATTCTTGTCTTGTTCCTTTTACTCCCTTCCCCACCACTCACCCTCACCACCACCACCACCACCACCAACATCTGTTGCTTTATTCCAGTGAACCTGGGCCTGTTAGATTCTTGTCTTGTTCCTTTTACTCCCTTTCCCACCACTCACCACCACCACCAACATCTCTGGAGAAGCTGCCTGCCAACTGAGAGCCTGTAAGTCAAAACAGGGAAACAGCATACGAAACCGTTTTTTTTATATTCACAGGTGCTAGTCTCAGTGTTGTGTTGATTAGTCACTGTCACTGCAAAAGCGGAGAAAGTGACAAATCTCACAACACGTAGTCGCGACATACTGCGAATGAACTCCTCACTAAAAGCACTGATCAACAACTAACTTGGAAGATGCAACCATGTGCTTAACAAGTGGGTTGTTTACTTTTAAAAGAGATTAATACAATATGTAACTTTTTAATGCTCAAATTCCTGGTACTACATGTACCTGCAAAAGTAAAGAAAAAGGCCTTATTGTTCCAGGTTGAGGCCCTCTTTAACAGCTCAAAAACATACTTAACATTGTTTTATCACCTTTAAACTTCATGACTTTTATGAGAATTGCTAATAACATGGCATGTTTTAGACGTCTGCTACAGAGAAGAACCAAAACCTGGTTAAAAATAATGTGATTCATATGCTCTCTATCTGTTATTGGTGTTGTCAATTAAGTTTATTAGGTAAAATCCCTATAAAGAATATCAAGCACTATAATTCTTCAAAACATTTGTTCATGCAGAACCCATTTAACATACAAAACCAAAAATATTTCCTTATTTGGTGTATTAACAATGCTTATGGTCATGCTCATCAAACGTGCAAGCCTAGTTCATGGCAAAACTAAAGGTCACCACTTCAAAACATTATTACATTTTGGGTTTTCATTACATATTTCTATTTAAAAGATGAAAAAAAGATGTTTCCATATCTCAAAGTTAACCAGGTGAGTATGACTCATGCACACCATCCTTTCCTGCTGCAGCCTCTTAAAGAACTTAAACTACATGCAGATTGAGGGACATGAAAAAGGGCTGTTTCCTGTTTGTGTGGTGTGCGTATAGAGGCACCTTGAGACGAAGTACCAGGAAGTGGGTTTCTGAACCTCCAGCACCAGGTCTGAGGGTGGCGGAGGGAGGGAGGAGGGGGTCGACTGCTCTTCACTGTGTGGCAAAAAAAAAAGAACTTCCATTACTTCATCGCATTTAACAGCAGGTTATTTTCCAATATGGAAACAGTACAGTGGCACAGATCAAGAGTGCGGTTCATTCATTGCTTCCTGCACAACAGAATAAAGCAGGTGTGTAGTTTTACTCTCAGTACTCAATCTTCATTCACCTTTAACCCGCACAGTTGAGCAAGAGAATGTGGCGGCATGTACACTTTGTAATTGTGTTATCAGAGGAAGGTTTACCTCTTTGTTTGAGAAAGAGGTGAGCAAATAGTGGTGGATGTGCTAACTGTGCTATTTCCTTATCTGCACTCACAGCTGAGAGCAGTGTAGCTGCAACCCTGCCTGCATGCATGTGTGCATGAGCCTGTGTCTCTGCAGTGTGACAGGTGATGTGGGAGGGATAATTAATCACCAAACAAGGGCTGAGGTCAACACTGAGTGATGAGGTTAGGTAAGGGGCTATTCACAGGCTGCTTTGTCTGTAGAAAAACAGAGAGGCACGATTAACCTCCTTCAGACACACATACCAGAGCTCACAAACCTGCTTTAAAAACATCCACCTGAGGAAAACAAAATGCACTTTTAATGTCAGTGGAGGGATTAGATGTTCTTCATTGACACAAGGTGAGAATATAAACCAGAATGGAGCAAACGTTTCTCAACATTTTGGGAAAATACACTATACTCATTTACTAGGCAGAAGATTGATACCACTCTCATGTCTGTATGGTAAATATGGATCTACAGCCAGCAGCTGGTTAGCTTAGCTTAGCACAAAGACTGAAAACAGGGGGATATAGCTAGCCTTTCTCTGTCCAAAGGTAACAATCTGTTTTGAAAAGTCCACTAATCAACATTATATCTTGTTTGTTTAATCCAAAAAACAAACTGTAAAAATGACTGTTCACAGTTTTACCAGGGATTATTGGCCGGGCTATTTCTAGGACTGGACCAGTTGCCAAGCAAGCAGGCAAAACCCTGTATAGTCCTGTATCGTTTGCTTCTTGTATAGATTCCTGTTTCCAGTCTTTATGCTAAGCTAAGCTAAGTGGTAGCTGGCCGCAGCTTGTCCTTGCCTACATGTAAAGTGTAATTTAGCTCATCAGTATTCATCAACCCTTTACAAGAAAGCAAATAAGCAAATAGCTATTGCTTTAAAGGACCAGTGTGTGGGATTTAGTGGCATCTAGCGGTGAAGTTGCAGATCACAGCTAACTGAACACCACTCGCATCTGTATTTGACGACATGGGAATGACGACAGGCTGTGAAGTGTGTAAGAGAAACTACGGTGAAACTCCCAAAAGGCCCCATCTACAGCCAGTGTTTGTTTTGTCTGTGCTGTAGAAACATCTGGTGATTTATACATGAATGAATGAATATTATCTTCCATTTCAGCCAATAGATCCTCCTAAATGTTACACACTGGACCTTTAAAGCAAAAAAATGTCCTATCTTTTAAGAATTGGATTTTGGAAATAAGTTTTCACCCAACTAAAATGATATTGTGTGTTGTCCTAGAACATACAAGCAGAAATATGTGTAGTAATTGCAGCAACATAATCACCATGCACGTATGGGTTCAGTGTCTAGCTAAAATACACCTCAAGAAGACATGTCAGTCACAGTGATCAAACCTTTGACCTCGCTGCTACATGACAAACCTTTAAACCTGCCACTGCCTATAATGGGCCCTTCTTGCTAAGTGAAAGTACGCCTTTATCTTCTCTGTCTGCATTCCCTTCTAACGCTGCTCTTGTGGTTGATTTGTCTATGGCTTCACAGCAGGGATTGTGGGGAGTTAGAGTCTTGTTTCCCCAAATATTGAAATCCTTAGTCCTTAATTATGGGGATGTGTTTTATAATTTGTGTTAACAAGGGGCCTTCTCATCCCATCTCTAATCCCTTCCTGACTATTATCACCCTATTTCACTGTTTGGGAAGTTTACCTTCTGAATACAAAACAATACTGACTTTGAGTGACAGAGAAAGTTGCATTGCAGTCATGATTTACAGAAGCTATTTCATTATCAGGATTGTCCTATTTTCAGCCTCACAATGTTTCTGGGTAATCACATATTTCCTAAAATATCTCATCTGATAATGACGCTTAAGCAGTAACTTCAGGCTTTACAGTTTTGGTAATCACTTTCCTCTAATCTCTGAGCATGTAACACTTTACTTACCAGCCATGCAGTTTTCTCTGCAGCCTGCAGCAAAAGGCAGTTTTTTTTTTTATCTTTGTAGGTCTATGGCTATATGTGTCACAATGAGACTGATTGCAGATCAACAAAGACAACAGTCACAACCACTCCTTGATCCTGTGGGTTTAACCCAGGCACTCCGCAGCCCTATTATCTACACGACTGAGACTATGACACACTGCTTACCAAGTAATGACCATTAGCCCTGCCAGGATCCAGTGTCACATGTGCTTTTCTTCCTCCGGGCTAAGTGGCAACCCTTGACCTGTAAAAGAAAGGAAGAGAAAACACATATGTGTTGAGCAGAGGAGCAGAGAGGTGAGGAGGTTACAGAGGAGAGCACCGGTGATGGCCGTCTGACAGGTTGTGGAAACACACCCTTCCACTCCTTAGTGTGACAGAAAAACAAACACACAGCCACTAAACTCTCGGTGAGCCTCGCGCTAATGGACAAGCGATGACTTTTTCCCAACCAGACATAGTGGCCCAGTGGAAACAGGAGACGAGGAATGGCCAATGGGACAGTCCTTCCAGAACCTGACACTGTTGTGCTTAGGGTTTCTGGTCCACTGGGTCGAGTGAGTCACTCCCTCAGCTCTTCTGAGTGCTGAACCACTTAACTCTTCCTGTCTCATGACTCCCATCATCGTGGTCCGATGGGAGGAAAGTAGCCTCTGGTAGCCGATCAAAACCTGCTCTGCCTTTTCACATATTCCCTGCTCTGAGCTGGGACCCTACAGGATTCAAATTCAAACAACTATGATCTTATTTTTGTAGTTTTAGGCCATTGCTTCCATTGCTAATAAGAACATAAGGTCATTGCAGAGATCTGGGAAAGCGGCAACGTTATTACAACACAGTGACGTTTACCATGACCCCTTAATACAAAGCAATGTCTATTTCTGACCCATTGTCACAGCATGCATGAGCAGTGCACTCAAAGAGGGATTTTCCATCTCTGGATACTTTTTAGAGGCCTGAAGAGGCAAACTACACAGTATTTTAAAAGAAACACGGCAAATCTTGTAGAAAATACCAAAAATAAACATAATTTTGTATAGCAGAATTTAGCTTTTTCTCATTTTCTACCCCAGTAATCATCTCGTAACCCATTCTCATTGGGGTCCAGACTCCTAGTTTGGGAACCACTAATCCTTACCCCTTTATTAGGCCTGAAATGTTGCTTGAGGCAACTGTGAGCACAACTAAAGCAAGTATGTAAGCTCAAACCAAAAATCTGGTCTGTAAATCATAGTTTGGGTTTTATTTTTATCTTTAGTGCTCTCTTTTAAAGAAGTTTGGCTAACCTGGACACAAATTTAAAACCAATATGATTGTCTGACTGCTCTTCTTTTCATTTTAATAATGTTGCTGCGTTATTACTTCCCAAAGATATGGTGGCAAAATATACGACTACAGCTGTGTAACAGTTGTTTGTAAGCTTTTCACACCATGACATGAAACAAAAGGTGCATTACAGTACATGACACATGGAGGAGAGACTTCACAGCTCCCTAACGGCTCACGTAAATATTAAGTGATATTGAATGAGGTTAGCTTTAAGCCACTGAACCATGTAAAACTAAAAAAAGCATGTTTCCTCACACATGATTTTCAGTTTTGTTTTGCAGCATCTGTTTCCTCTGGTGGCAGCAGTGCTAGAAAAAAACCTCATTCTCACTCAACAGTTTTCAGTTTCTCCCCGGTTCAATACTGATTTACACAAACTGAAAGCGCACACAGATCCAGACTCCTAGAAATAAATACACCCACACCCACCCACAGATATGCACTGGTCCATGATTGACCCGCATAGTTAACTAACCAGCCACCCTGAGTCACTCAGGCCTTTTAGAGGTACAGAAAATGACATCAGTGATAGTTTACAGGAAGTCTGTGCTGCGTCTTGTACCAAGACTGTGTGAAGTGCGTCTCTCCTGGATCCCACACTCAAACGACACAGTGGCATGATGTTGACTGAAGGGCAAAATTACAAAATGGTGAAAATGTGCTTCAAGGCCACAATTTAAAAAAAAGGGTGACACTGGGTGCTTGAGAGACCGAAAAGGAGAGATAGTGAGACAGAGGTAATGTAACCATGGCTGTATCATTTTCTTGTTTGAGTTGTAAACAAGGCCTAGATATCTGGCCTTGGGAGGTTAGGGAATAGTTAAAAGTGAACTCTGTCTCTCTCTCTCTCTCTCTCTCTCTCTCTCTCTCTCTCTCTCTCTCTATGTGTGTGTGTGTGTGTGTGTGTGTATATTTCACAATGATCTGCTGGCTGAGACTCAGAGAGACGAAGATAAGAACTGACTGTGAGAAACCGCAGATCTCACACCCACTCACTAAGAAAGAGAGCACACAAAAACACAGGAGTACGCGCAGAAAGCACACACTGGAACATGCACACTTACACACACACACACACACACACACACACACAGACATATATACAAGGCGTATGTGCATGCCTGCTCCAGCTGGTATGTTCGGTCCGAACACACAACTCTGCGTCCTCACACGTCGCTGCACATTTAACAGTTGACACTAGGTTCCCTCAGGGACGTACGTGGGGCTCCTCTTGATTGAGGAATTTAGCTGTAAAAACACAACAGAGATTATTTGGAAGTGTCTGACTGCTTGCTCAAATCTTTCAAGGCACGTCTTCCATTGAGATAACGCCTGAAACCTGTCCTACGCTCACCCTCGAGCCTCACCTGCTAACCTGCCGCGACATGCACCCACAGGTACGCAGGAAAAAAGGATTAGATAGTAACTTTACATTAAAGTCTTTTGTAATGGTTGTGTTAGGCTATTACTAACCGACAATCACACTCTCTGAGTCAGAGTGCCCACACAGTGTACTGTTTTTATCAGAGACTTTCTGTAAACTTTATCAAAGGGTGGTAGACAGTTTACTCAAATGAATACTATTATCGTTAGACCTGAGCTGTAAGTTGGGTCCAGAGTTGTAGATCTGAGAGTTTAAACTTAAACCACAACTACAATGCACTCCTGCTGCTAAAGTGCTTAATCTGTTATGACAGCTAGATAGCTTATTGTTGCTAATGTTAGCAAACTTTACATACATAATGCTGTGTAACTGAGCCAGTTTACTAATTTTATTATAGCTTTTCTCTACTTTACATTATGTTTTAGCATGCAGCAGATACATTTCAACACCTTTTTATCACAGAAGTATGTCCGCTAGCAAGCTTATGGGATGGAGACGTTGAATGTGTATATAAAAGTATATAAAAAATGTTTTAAAGCAGCTTTGAAAGGTAAATATTCTATTTTAATGGCCATTTTACACCTGAAAGAATTGTTATTGAGTTGTAATTTCCCTATGATCTAAGATGTTCCTTCAAAAGATTCGCACAGACAAGATGTGACTTTGAGTTGCCCCAAAAGACCTAAAAACAGCTTTGCTCGGGTCTGCATCTAACCAAGAACAAAACCTAAACCACCTACACAATAGCTCTATGCGGGGAAACAATAAATTTGTTCTCAGGGAGGAACTCATCTGGGCATCATTGTTATCGGAGACACGGAATAGCAGGAGAGAAGGGGAACATGATGTGTGAGAGCAGACCGAGGCCCAGAGGAAGGCCGCAGCACAATGCGAGGCAAAGGAGATTGTCTATAAATCACAGCGCTAACCGATTCCCCACCTGTGTCCGCTGTCTTCCCAGAAACACACAGTCACACAAACAGCTGCCCCTGCTCTGGAAAACCCTGATGACCGCGATACACACAAAAATCACACAATCAAGAGTTTTGGATATCAAACGCCAGGAATGTGTAGAACAAACTACCCTCTTTAAGGCACCAATTGTTGTTTTGGCGTAGGATTTTGGTACAATGTTCCACAGTGGCACACACACACACACACACACACACACACAGCTGTGCAAATTCATGCTTTGCACACACGCGATCAAACAACACAGCCATTAATTTGATTAGAAGGCTCTCAACAATTTCCAGTTTTTGGTCTTGAAAGGGCATTGTGGTCGCAGCCAAGCCTGAAATAAATTAAACGTCATCCATAAACCACGATATTAACAGTAAGACATCCAGATTTACAGTATTTCCCAGTAAAAGGTCGTCAGTGTTTTGAGGAGGTGACGCATCAAGCGTGTGTGTGTGTGTGTATATGTACAAGTCCGCCGCATATGTAAACACATCCGAATGTGTATGAGCATACAAACACATACGAATGTGTATGAGCATGTGTGCTAAAGGGGGAGGGTTGTTTACTTGGGCAGCCTCTCAGAGTGTCTCCTGGCCGGCTCCCACTTCCTGCCCCTGCGCCTGGAGCAGCAGCCTGTCTAGTCAGCCACCTCGGGCTGACAGGGAGACCACATGCTAAAAGACTTATTGGCCTACTTTAGAAGACCTATGGGAGGGAAGGGGGGACTATATGCCTGCTCTGGGTGGGGCTGGGACTGTTTTGAAGGGAGATTGGGGGGTCTACAGGGTGTCTGATTTTTTTTTTTTTTTTTTTTTTAATAAAGCACTCTAACTCCCTCCCCTCTCTCCCTGCTTTTCCTCTGAGTGCTTACAGCTGCAGGGATGGAGAAGGGGGGCATAGCGGAACAGAGCGAACAGGCTCAGCATAGAGAGGGCCCTTCATGAAGTCACATCTGGACCTTTCCCAGAGAACTCAATGGAGCAGAGAGGCTAATGAAAGTCTTAAGTTATGTAATTGAGCTCTTCCATGTGCACCAGACGGTAATGTTGGCTTGATCCGTGGCACAGGATGTTAGAGAAATCCTATGGACATTAATGTCCCTCACAAAGGTCTGACAACCAGGCTCATGTCGCTACTGTCATGTCTGTAGCAGCTTGCTAACCCAGACTCTGGATATAGTGGAGCTCCAGGCCCATACATGGAGTCGCTGCAGTGAGAGACTTGGCCTGTGAGGCATAACAAACAGGGTTTGGCATTTACTGCTACTAACAGGCCTACTTAGGTTGATTGGCTCATGTTGTTTTGCTGCAGTTAGGCTTCCACTGTCCGGCAGCAGTGGAAAAACACGAGAGAATTATGAACATTAAGTACAGCGCATGATTAAATGTGGTGTACAATGATTCTTTTTGAACCTCGTTCAAAGTGTAAACGATTGTAATGTAATTTTGAGCCTTGCCGTTTATGACAAACATATGTCTACTGGTGTATTGTTATGCTTAGCAGTGACTTGAGCAGGGAGGCTGTAAAATAAGCCGCCCGGCTGGTTATGGGAGGGAGAGGGAAAGAAAAAAACCTGCACTGTCGGATAACACGGTGAGAGGTGGAGTGACGAATGGTAGAGAACACGCATACAGTATGTGTGGATGCAAACAAGCCTGTAGTCACAGTGTATGTGTCCATATGTATGTAACAACTGGGTGTAGGTTGTAACCACAATCAGATTGAATAAGGTCTCCGGTATCAGCTCCAGCTTTGATTTACGCTCCACGGCCGAGGGGAGACGAAAAGAGAAGCAGCAGAAGCAGCGGAGACGCTCCTGAAATGAACACCTTGGTAAAACCTGCCGCTGTATAAAGTGTCAGCGTTGGGCCCCTCTGTGGCACGGAGCCAAGCCCAGAGCCACTATCACCTTCGCCACCGTCACCACCACACCACTGCGCCTTCCATTAATAAAGGAGAAGAATAACAGTGACGGCGGGGGAAGATAGGCTAGAGCAACGATACATTACCTGCCAATTAGACGAAGGGCGGAGGCAATGAGGGGAAATGCAGACCATATGGGAGGCTATGTGAGAGGCCACCTGACCCAAGGGGCCCACAACTCTCACATCAACACTCCTCGCCAGACTGGACCTGTTTGAAGTCTTACATAATGCTCTGAATACCACCCTCTTCTCCTTCTCTCTCCCCAGTCTTTCCAGCCTCCGCCTCCTCCTACTCCCCTCTTGCCCTCTGCTTTCCACTCTGAGACCACAACCACAAAGACAGGCCCCAGCCAAGACAAACACAGCCCAGAATCAAATCAATTTTGAGAAGTTATGGTGCGACTATTACAGCTTAACACGCCGCTGACAAGCCGCATGAGATGGTCCCCTCATGAGTGTGTGAAGAATGAAGGCCGTTACGTCTGTAACTTAAATGATCAGACACACAAGAGACATAACAGAAGTTGCCACTGACAAAGTCCTTCTTCATGCATCCTTTATATAACATGCATTAGTAATCCTGATGATTATTCCTTGGACGTTGCACAGTGGAATGAAGCATACCTTGACACAAATTTCCTTGTGTTTTCCAGAGCTTGAAAAAAAGGGAATTTTCCACACGCTTCCTTTTGATGAAGTCAAGTTCAGCATTATTTCACATGCAATAAAAACGCTTAAAGGAATAGTTTGACATTCTGGGAAATTTGCTTTCTTGCGGCAAGTTAGAAGATCAATATCACTTTCATATACCGGTAAATTTAAGACCACAGCCAGATCAAACCTCTGTGGTTCATTAATTAGCATATTATCTCTTGTTTATTTAATCTGTTGTGGGTTTTTGGGGGGGGGAGCAGACTGTTTCTCTGTGACTTCCTGGAGTCTCTGCTGGTTTCCCAGCAAACCTCAGGTGATAACAAGACTTCCAGCTATGAAATAACCTAGGACAACCCCCCCCCCTCCCCGCCCGCCCGCCCCCCATACAACCAAAACTTTTAATTTTTAAGCTTCAGTTTCTGTTTGGATTACGCAAACATGATATCACATGTTTATTAGTGAGCTTTAGAGTTGCTTGCAGGTTGAATTTTGTACGTTGGACAGAGCCAGGCTTGCTCTCTCCCCGTTTCCAGTCTCTGAGCTAAGCTAAGCTAATGGGCTGTTGGCTGTAGATTGATATATGGCATGCAGATACGAGAGTGGCATCCAACTCCTCATCTAACTCTTTCCCAAAATGTCAAAACTATGTCTTTAATCTGCGCACACATAAACATACAGTGTGCAGTGGCTGTTCTGCTACCTCAGTCTGGCTAGTGTATAAGAGAGGCTCGTGGCCAGGTCTAGTCAGAACCAGAAGGGCCAGCAGCAGCTCTGTGGAAACACTGACTCACCAGCCAGGGGCCTTAACTCAACTCTACCTCCTCACAGCTGGCTGACGGGGGGGAAAAAAATATTTTATTTCTAAAACACCTTCATTGTTACAACACAAAATACAACAGAGCTAAAACAAACTCACGAGAAAACGCAGTCCAAAAGAATAAATCTCACACCTTGCACAAACAAGCCCCAGAAACGTACTCACATTAAAACTCAAGCAGCACTGCACCACGACTCCTGATCCACCATAAAAGAGAAAAAGGGGAGAGAGGGTAAGAGACAGAGAGCTGTATCATTAACGTGGTTGGACCCCTGGGAGACTGTTGGCCCATCATAAGCTTCTTATTAGACGACTCTCCACAGAGAATTTGTGGTCTAATCTTATAAAACTTTGAACACCCGCTCCCTGCATGCTCTACCCCTGGCTTATTAGTCACAGTTCTGTTTTCGGTGCTCCAGTGTGGTAAATGGACTTGTTATACTTATGGCTCACAACGCTTTAACAAAGCCCCGTCTGAATTATGGCGGAAAAGCACGGGGCGAAAAGGTGTTGAGGTGTCGTTAGAGTGACACAGGTTTTTTTTCACACAGTTCTGTGCTGTTGCTGAAAGCTGAATCTTTCAACAGCCAACCTGCTCAAACCTAACTCACATGCACAGGGCCCAGCCCATATGCCGCAGCACTTAAAGTGAAGTCATACTCAAAATAGAGGAACAGTTCAACACATTGCAGTTTTGCAAAATTTGTGTGTAAATTCTGTGGTTTCATATTTACTGTATCTTGGTGACGTGGTGGGACAAAAGTCAGCAGGTTTCAATTCTAATTAGGTGACCGTATCTTCAAACAGAGGAGACAAATGTATCACTTGAGCATCATCATGATTGTCAAACTTAATTTCGACCCAACCTGGGGAAACAGGAAACAGCAGTGTCAAAGGAAGTCAGAGAATAACAACAACAGCAATAGCTGTGGTGAAAGAGGTAGCTCAGAAAATATGAGAAATATGATTGCTTAAAAAGTTCCACTTGAGCAGATAAAAGCAAAGAAGACACCACAAAGATCATCTATAGCCAGTAAACAAGTGTTAATGTTAGCATCAAGATGTTAAGGCAAAGAAGTACAGAAGGAAATATGATATTTTAGACCATTTGCAGACAACCTGTAGCAGCATTGTTGAAGCATTGTTTTCTGCAAATGGGACTGTTTGTCTCAAGTATGAGCAACAGTCACTGAAAGGAGGAGGAAAGGGCTTTGCAGGACCACAGAGGTACAGATTTATTTAGTGTTATGTTGTGGAATAGTTTTGGAAATCCATTTTAGTTTTGTTCTGAGAGTTAGCTGAGAAGATTGATACCACTGTCATGTCTGTGCGTTAAGTATGGAGCTGGAGCTGGGAAAATGATTAGCCTAGCTTAGCATAAAGACTGGAAACGGGGGACAAAAGCTAGCCTGGGTCTCTCCAAAGTTCCAAAATCTACCAACCAACACATCTGCAGCTCACTAAATAACACGCCGTACTCATATATCTATAAATATACAGATATATATATATATATATATATATATATATATATATATATCATATCTATATCATATCTATCTTTGTACTTAATCTATTTATAAACAGAAGTGTTAAAATGTGTCGTTAAACAGCACTGTGATTTCCCAGAGTATTGGTGCTGCAGTGAGGTTGCCAGGAAACTAGCGGAGACAATAAACAGTTACAGCAAATAAACCCCTCTAAAACCAGACATTTTTATTTTTACATCACTAACAAACAATATCCAACTTCAGAGGGTGATTAAATCTTAGCTACCTGTTTCTCCCTGCTTCTGGTATTTATGCTAAGCTAAGCTAAGCGTCTCCTGTCTCTAGCTCCATACCTAACACACAGACATGAGAATGTTTGAATCTTAACTGTTTGAAAGAAAGTGAATATCTCCCACGTTCTTTAACTATAAGCTACATTTTGCACATAATACTCTTATAGATATATACATAGAATATAAGCTTTAAAGGTTCAGTTCACCCAAATTTCAATAGTTTACATAGGGACTATTTGTCTGGTATAAAGTAAATCTGTTCATGCCAAGGCCTGTGAATTATTAACACTGACTAGGACACTCTTTCTGGAATTGTTGGAGATTTTTTCACATGTCATTTTTCTATGCTGCAAGCCCAGAAAACAATATTTTATCAACCTATATTGTATCATACTGTGGGAGGCAGTATTCCCAGAGATGATATCTCAAAACTTGAAACATTGGCACCACTGAGAGAAAATGTGTTTTTTGTAATCTAGGTGAACCCAGACCGAGTTTGGCTTTAGACCAAACTCCAGCTCAAACACAAATAAACTAATCATTAAACTCTAGACCCCGTATCCCCTTTGGTCACTCTCTAGTTCAGGATTTGGTGTGTCCAAGGCTGCAGAGACCTCTTGGTCTCCAGGCCAAGTTCCATGTCCGCTCTGATTATAGCACTAGAACAATGCAACCCATTGTGGCGCAGCAAGCGTGGAGTCTGTGCAGTTTTCTCCATCATCTCTCTCAAACGCTCTCATTCACCATACACACATGTGCACAAATGTGGCATAATGGACTACAGAGTTGAGTAAACCACATAAAGGTAAAAATGTATGGTGTTTTTTTTTTTTGTTTTTTTTTCTCGAGTGAGCATGAAATATGGTTGACTGGGTCCCTGGTGCTCAGGCAGCCTGCCAAGACTTGAAGCAGGCAGTTGAAATTCATCACATTTAGACACACATATGCAGTCACACACACATTCCCCTGCAGGAGACCTCAGGCCACAGGGGAAGAACAATCTGACATGCCACACAGTGAGGCTCTCCGCAATTAGACAGTCACTTTATCACACTACAAACTTCTCTCTTTCCATCTCTCTCTCTCTCTCTCTCTCCCTCTCTCTCTCTCTCACACACACACACACACACACTCCCAAACAAACACACAAAGGTGTAATCACTCACAAACACACTGCCAAACTCAAAACTGCTATTATCTGTCATTAGGGACACACACACACACACACACACACACACACACACACTCTGAAACACATTTCACAGCCCCACATTCTCTATAAGCAAACACAGTCGGCCTCATGCAATAAGCCAGTGGGTTCCAGAGAAGTGCAGTAATACATGGACCCTCGCAAAGAGAGTTATAAATAGTTATAAATAGAGATGTGTTATGTTGTGCCTGTCCCTCTGGGGGAAGACTAGGAGGATCAGTCATAACCCCTGCGACCCATGACCTCTAACCCCTTACCCTCGGGGTTCAGTGGACATGCTGTGAGTCAATGACGTCCAGAGCGGTACACAGGAGTATTAGCTTTTATATGGTCTGTGTTCATGTCCCCCCTTCACCCCTTCATTTCCTGAACACATCTTGAGTTGCACTATTCTGCATGTGTCCCCATTTGAACATGCAAACTGATACGCCTAAGTAGATTTTTAACACATGCTTACAGGAATGTAGTGTTTATGTATGTATACAAACTCATATTTGAACCTTATATCCCCATCAACAAGTCTCCGGAAGACTGTTTAAGACCTGTAGATATCCAGTCACTGAATGTGTGGATGGTCAGAAACCTTCTTGGCCTTGAAAGTGCAACTTACACTATGATTAAAGTGTTTTTCCCAAAGCTGTAATATGTAACATTTCCACATTAAAATGTCTTAAAACACTTGGCCTATATATTTGTATGTTATATATGTTGTTGAGTTGTGTACTTACATTATCCCAAGTGTTTCCAACAACATTCGAACATATCATCCTTTGTGCATGCATCAGTGTTGTCGTTGTCTGCCAGAAGCTGTCACAAATTCACTTTATATCCAGTTTTAAGGCACATTTTTATGTTTTTAACTATAAATTTTAACCAGAAGGAGGATTTTAGTCATCAGGTGTCTGGATCTTAAGTTATCAGAGCTAAGTTATTGGCTGGCAGGCCCTCTGGGATGTCCTTTGTCTGCCAAACAGCACCAAAAACACAGATTTTTAAGGTGAAATTGCTTTGTTCAGTGTTTTAACCACTGGGTCTGTTTGTTTTGGAGAGGAGTCGACCTCTGCAGGTGATTTAGTAGAAACCTCCTGAACACGAACACAGGAGGAAGCTGACAGCAATGACGGCGATTGTGCTGAAGACAACAACTCCCATGATCTAACGCTACTTCACGATGTCTGCAAACTTTATCTTTTGTTATTGTTTTGATGTGAGACACTGATGTGAGGCTAGCTGTTTCCCCCCTGTTTGCAGTCATTATGCTAAGCTAATCGCTCAATCTTCACATCTCACTTTCAGAAAGATAGAGATCAAGCATCGAACATTGTCAGTTTATCTAAATTGACACGGTTCATGGTTTGAACTGAACTTTGTGTCCCCTCACAGACCAAAATGTTGTTGAATGAAGTTTCAGACGTCTTTGAGATAAACGCAACCTATGTATCACAAACTATAATGTCATGCACCATTGTGAAAACTTTGTAGCTCCACAGACGCAATACTGGAGCCTCTCACCCACCATCCACATGTGGTCACAACAGAGCAACCCATCAACCATGAGGCTCACAGTGTGAGAGCAGGGTCAGGGGTCACGCAGTGATTGGCCAATAAAGGGAACATAATATGCAGGAGCAAAGCATGGCTGAAGATTTGTCACCCTTCATTTCACTGCATCGCATATCCCTGCTCTGCAGTGTGGTTAAAAGAGCTAACAAGGAGTTAAATCCTCAGAGAATTATTATTATTTCACTGATTCAATATCAAGAGGAAATATGTTTAACGAATGGCACAGAAAGGCAGGGTGTGGAGCAGGTAGGGCAGGGCGACCTGAACTGGCATGGAATAAACAAAACAAAGTTGACCAAAACTGTGTAAGTGAATTTCACCACTAATTGGATGGTAAGACTTGATTAGCTACGGAAAATGTCATACTGTATTTCCACCCGGAGCAGTTTATAGAAATATGTGCATCATCGATCATGAGATAGCATGACATTTCTTGGAAGTAATGGGGATAATTGAGGCAGGGGTAATTGCCAGGTATCTTGAAGTGGGAAAACCTGGTTTAAAACACATCTTAAGTGACCTTATCAAATGCTTTTATTCTTGCATAATATTGGACACTTTTACCTCAGTAGACTTCCTTTAAACCCTTTAAACGAAAGAATCTGAGACAAAATAATCCGTCTATGGTTGAACTTTTCATATTTGACGTTGACGGTAACGCCACAATCCATAATCAGGGGTCACAAGTAGATATTCATTCATGTTAAGGGGTCACCAGAGTATAATGTCCACACTTACTGCTGTATTGAAACTAGTTCAGTTGGACTGTCCCCTGAAATACTGTTTAGTTGTATGTTTAAGCTTCATCATGTAGTGGAGTAAAAAGCACAATGTTTCCTACAGAAACGTAGTGGAGTACAAGTGTAAAGTAGCATAAAAATGGGGCGTCCTGGTAGCTCATCTGGTAGAGCTGGTGCCCCAAGTACCAAGGCTGAGTCCTTGATGCTAGGCCCTCGGGTTCAAGCCCTCTGCTGGGTGTCATCCCCTTACACTCCCCCTCTTTCCAGCCCATCTCTCAAGCTGTCCTGTCTAATAAAGGAAAAAGTAGTTAATTTCAACCACTGTTAATAATTCAGCGTTTGTTTGTCGACTCCTTCTGTGGTGCTTTGATGTTTTTTAAAAGGTTGTTGCATGAATACAGTC